AGCTGGAAAGGTGATCTGGGAGCTTTCCAGGAAGAAGTATCCAGAAAAAATCTGGAAATGTAGATCCAGGGCAAAAAGAGATGGGTGTGGACCAAAAGCAGCTTAAGGGTCATCCGTGCTTTACTATGAAGTCTTATAAAACTACTGTGATGTCCAGTGATCCATCTATTCCTCCCATACCTGCAGTCCATACTTTATACTTGTCTCTTCATCCTTGACTTTTAGCTACTAATGCTCATGAAGTTTAGTCTAGCTTCTATAGACTAACATAAGACAAAAATATAAGGCACTTAAGAGCTAGGGCATTGATTCATTGATCTGGATCTCAAGCAGTTACTTAGAACATACTTCTAGATTAAAAATTCATCACTCCAGGTGCGCCTGGGTGGCTCAGTTAAGCGTCCAACTTCGGTTCAGGTCACGATCTCACAGTCTGTGGGTTCGAGCTCCATGTCGGGCTCTATGGTTGACAGCTCAGAGCCTGGAGCCTGCTTCAGATTCTCTGTGTTTCCATCTCTCTCTGCCCCTCCCCCATTCACGCTCTGTCTTTGTCTCTCTCAAAAATAAACAGGGGCACCTGGGTGGCTCAGTTGGTTAAGCATCTGAATTCGGCTCAGGTCATGATCTCATGGTCTGTGAGTTCAAGCCCCGCGTTGGGCTCTGTGCTGACAGCTCAGAGCCCAGGGCCTGCTTCAGATTCTGTGTCTCCCTCTCTCTCTGCTGCTCCTCGACTCATGCTCTGTCCGTCTGTCTCTCAAACCATTAAAAAAATATAAATAAATACACATAAAAAAAGGAAATGTTATCTGGCAGTGCAGACCTCTGAGCAGCCAGTGAAAGAACTGGAAGAGAGGAGGTGGGGCTGGAAGATCTGAGCACTCATTCTGATTTTTCCAACAAGTTACCAGATGACTCTGAGCAAGTCACATTATGTCTTGAGCTTAGGACAAACCTGTGTCTGGCTCTTTAAATACAGCTGTGAACATCAATTCAAAGAACACACATGAAGAAGTTTTGCAAAATGAAAAATGTACAGATGAGATTGTTACAAGGGTGATCAATGCATGCCTGAAAAATGCAAGTAAGAGCACAAAAAACAAACGTGGGATGTAGGTCTAGGTAAAGTCTGTTAGACTTTAGAAAGCAGTAATTTGAGCTGTGAGGTAAAAAATAAACGTGGCTTTTTACAGGGGTCTAAAGACATCAGTAAAGAAAAAAATTTGTGGTCTGGGTAGGAGATATGAAAGGGCAAGTCTTTAATATGTTACAAGAAAGTGGTTGCCCTTGGCAGTTGACACTGGAAGCTTTCCAAATGTCTTACAAGGTTTAGTGTCCCTACTCTACACCCTAGTCCAATGACGTCCAATGACTGTCCCCCAACATTCTTGTGCCCTTTTATGCTCTTGATTATGGCTCTTTTCACCTTACATGCCTTTGCCTTGCTTGTTTATGCTTTCTGATCCTTTAACACCCAGCTGAAATGAGATACTCCTAGAGAATGATTTACTCCTTTATCTATCCATTTCTTCCCATTATAGCCATTATTGCAATAATTGTTTTTTTTTGTGTTTTTTAAATTTTTTTTAATGTTTATTTATTTTTGAGACACAGAGAGACAGAGCATGAACGGGGGAGGGTCAGAGAGAAAGGGAGACACAGAATCTGAAACAGGCTCCAGGCTCTGAGCTGTCAGCACAGAGCCCGACGTGGGGCTCGAACTCACGGACCGCGAGATCATGGCCTGAACCGAAGTCAGACGCCCAACCGACTGAGCCACCCAGGCGCCCCTGTTTTTTTTTTGTTTTATTTTGTTTTGTTCTGTTTTTTAACTAGTCTCACCAGTTAAACTTTGAGTTCAAGGACAGGAAACACATCTTGGGTCATTTTTATATCCCCAGTGAATAGAACAGCAAGTACTCAATAAACGTTTGCTAAACTGGATTATATGTCACATAACAGATACAGACAGGAGTATTCAGATGTAACTTTAGATCTTACCCTTAAAGCAGGCAAGAAATCATTACTTAGAATTACCATCATTACTTAGAAAATCAACACTTCTCCTCTATCAGCAATTCTCTTGCTGAAAGAGTTTTTAAAAACCACATAAATCTTGTAATAATAGCAGACTTTATATGGGGCAACAGTGGGAATCAAGGAAGATCTTGGAAATGGAATTGTTCTCTAAGAATTATAGAGCAAAGTACGCCCTTCACAGAAAGAATGGAAAGCCTAGTCAGTAATGGATTCTGTTAATGAATCTAGAAAGACCATGTCCATCAGAAGGTAGATTTAGGAGTGAAGGTAGGTAACAAGAAGCATAAAAATAAAATAGTAACAATAGTTTACATTTTTTGTATGGTTACTGGTGTCTAGAATTATCCAAGAGCTTTACTTGAATTTTCTTGTTGAATCCTTACCACTGTGTGAAGTACAATTACCACCCTACATTATAGCGAAGAAATCTACAGTTGTTATAATTCACCCAAGATCATAAAACCAATAAAGAGACAGGATAAGACTCAAATGCTGGACAATTTCACTGTAGCATCCAGAAAGGGTGATATTAAATGTTTAAGTTATATAATTTACATCTCTTAATCTAATTAACTGCACACCAAGCTTTCTAGTAATATGGATTTTCAGGAGGCTCTCCTGCAAGGAAAGAATGTGCCTTTTGCCAACACAAGGACATTGGTCCACTTGCCAGTTAGTACAGCAGCACTCTGCTTATCCATCAAGCTCCTGTGAACCAGATAAGTCCCTAAGGAAGGAATACACTCTCAGGATACAGACTATATTTCTGGTCCTGCCTGTGAGGCTGAGGACCAGATCCTGGAACGTGGTGACTTCACTAATGCCATGTGGTAAGCCAACAGCTTCAGCTGATAATGCCCTAAACTCCTGTGGACTACAAACCTAAGACAGAGTTCATGGGAAGAACTCTTCCTTAAATTACTGAGTGGTTTTAAACCACCATAGTTCTCACTGGTGAGGTAGTCTGGAGTAGCACTGCAGGGAACAAATCTGTCCTTATTTTTATTATGCCAACTGTTTTGCAGACTCTCATCATATTGCTTTTCCCTCTCAGCTTATTTCTGTCCAGCCTGAAACATCCTATCCTTTTGGTTTGGCTCTCCATTTCTTGGTTTTTGGAGTCAATTCCATAAAGTAGGACATCTCACAGTTTTCCACAAGGAGAAGAAAACATTTCTATTTGCTCCTTCCTAGTGAATAGCCTCTAAGATCTTTGTCTTCAGAAAGCATGCTCCAAGGCCACTTGGACCCCATTCTTGGCTTCTGATGCCTCAGAGGTCATACAGTTGATAAATATTTTGTTATTTATATTTTTTTATTATTTTTTGAGAGACAGACAGAATGCAAGCAGGGGAGGGGCAGAGAGAGTAGGAGACACAGAGCCTGAAGCCTGCTTTGAGCTGTCAGCACAGAGCCCAATGTGGGGCTTGAACTGATGAACTGAGATCATGACCTGAACCAAAGTCGGACAGTTAACCCACTGAGACACCCAAGTGCCCCAAGGTGTTTTTTTAAGTTCTTGTATTTATTTTGAGAGGGACAGAGACAGCATGAGTGGAGGAGGGATGGGGGGAGTGGGCAGAGAGAGACAGAGAATCCCAAACAGTCTCCATGCTACCAGCACAGACCCTGACAGGGGCTCGAACTCATGAACCATGAGATCATGACCTGAACAGAAACCAAGAGTTGGATGCTTAACTGACTGAGTCACCCAGGCACCCCAGATGGAGGGTTTTTGTTGGTTGTTTTTTTTTTTTAAGATTTTATTCTTAAATAATCTCTAAACCCAATGTGGGACTTGAATTTACAACCCCAAGATCAAAAAGTCTCCACTAACTGAGACAGCCAGGCACCCTTGATATAGTTGGCATAAACATAGTTGTCTTGGTCGGTTCAGGCTGCTATAACAAAATACCATTGACTGGGTGTGTGACTTATAGACAACAGAAATTTATTGCTCACAGTTCTAGAGACTCAGTAGTCCAAGATCAAGGTACCAACATGGTTGCTTTCTGATTAAGGCCCTCTTCTTGGCTCATAGCCATTGCTTTCTGGCTGTGTCCTTAACATGGTAGAAGGGACTAGGGATCTCTGTGAAGCTCTTTTACAAGGCATTTAACCTATTTATAAAGGTTCTACTCTCATGACTTAAGTACCTCCTAAAGGCCCCACCTACTAATACCATCCCATCAAGTATTAGGATTTTTTTTTTAAGTTTATTTGTTCATTTTGAGAGAGAGTGAGCACAAGCAGGGGAGGGGCAGAGAGGAAGGGAGACAGAGGATCCCAAGCAGGCTCCACACTGTCAGCATAGAGCCCAAATCCAGGCTCAAACTCACAAACTGTGAGATTATGACCTGAGCTGAAATCAAGAGTCGGATGCTTAATCAATGGAGCCACTCGGGCACTCCAGCATTAGGATTTCAACATATGGATTTTGAGAGGGACACAAATATTCAGACCATAGCAGCTATTAATATAACTGTAAATATAGTTGAGTTTTTTTCCATCTAAATACATTGACTTATATTTGCCCATATTAAAGCTTTAGAAGACTTTTTTTTCTTTTTTTCAAAAATACTTGTTTATTTTGAGAGACAGAGCAGGAGAGGGGTAGAGAGGGAGGCACAGAATCAGAAGCAGGCTCTAGGCTCTGAGCTGTCAGCACAGAGCCCAATGCCATGCCCAAATTCATAAACCATGAGATCATGACCTGAGCCAAAGTGGGCCGCTCAACTGAATGAGGCACCCAGGTGCCCCTTGAAGACATTCTCATAGCTTACTCTTATGGTTTCAGGTAAAGTTGTACAGAAAGTTTATTAATCAGATTATTAAAGGTACCAGAAAGAAAAAGAACCTAAGAACTTAAGTGCAAGTCAGTCTTGTTGTTTCTGGTACATAGTTCCTAGATATACCAGGAGGTATTTGGGGTTGAGAGCTGAAGAAACTGCAAGATACAAATATTCTGGAGGTATATGGTAATTTCCCTCTAAGTTTGAGGGTTTTATTTTTGAGTCCTCAGGTGTACATAAAAGACAAATGGGATCATTTGGTTTCTAGTAAAAGGGGTCACATGTAAATTTTCCAAATATTCACATATTTCTAGAATATTAGCTAGTCACATAAATCAAGTACCTGAGATTAGGAACCAGAAAACTTAGGACTGGTGTTGAGAAACCAAATTATCCCTTTTCTGCATGTCTGCACCCAAGCAGCTGAATGTTGCTGGAAAAAAACCACATACTGGGCCAACTGGTTTAACTTTAAAGTCATGATCACAAACTTCAAATGGGTACCCAATGCTGACAAGGCAGTCCTACTCAGGAAAGCTGTAAGCTTGCTTTTCCTCTCCCCAGCATTTGCATCCATCTTCACCTTCGTTACTTCACAGCAGAAGCATCCTGTTCCTGAGGTCAGTTCTCCGTTCCCTTATATCCTCTCATGGGTTTCATTCCTATGTAAGTCAAGCAAGCCTTCTCTCTCCTGTATCACTCCCAATGGCACATAAACACAATCAAGAACTCTATCATGTTTTAAAACATCTCCTCCCTTGACCCATTACCTTCCATTTATCCCTAAATTTCTTTGCTCCCTTCACAACAAAACTTCTCATCTTGCTTATGTGTGCTATCTCTATTCCCTTACTTTTCCATTCACTCTTCAAACTCATTCTAGTGAGATCTGCATCTGTTGATTTACCAACATGAATCAAGCCAGTCACCATTGATATTGTCCAGTGACTTCCAAGGTGACCAGTCCAACAGCCATGTCTCTGGCCCAAGCTGACCTCTCAGCAGCACTAGGCACAGTTGACCACTCCTCCCTACCCTAAACCTTCTCTGCCCTTGGGTTCCAAACTCAACAGTCTTGTGGATTTCTTTCTTGCCTTCCTGGCTGCTCCCTCTCATTCTCCTTCATTACCCTACCTATTTCTAAATGCTGGAGTGTCTAGGATCTGGCCTTGGAATTTCTCTTCATTCTCCTCTCCAAGTCAGAGGCCATACACTGACAGCCCACACGAATGGTTTAATCAACCTTATGCATTTTAAAAACATCTGATTTAGTTGCTAACATCTAAATATCTGAAGATTTACATTACAAAAATCTAGATTTCTGATCCCCCCCCCTTTTTTTTAATGTTTATTTTTGAGAGACCTAGCTTGAGCAGGTAAGGGGCAGAGAGAGCAGGAGACACAGAATCCAAAACAAGCTCCAGGCTTGGAGCTGCCAGCACAAAAGCCCAATGCGAGGCTAAAACTCACGAACCGCCAAGATCATGACTTGAGCCAAAGTCAGACGCTTATTCGACTGTACCACACAGGCGCCCGTCTGATTTCCTTTTTCAGAAACACCCAGAAAAATCTGTCAATATTGGGCTGGCATCCTCATAATGAAACAATCTGCTGAATAGCGCAGAAGCTGTCTCCTTGATGCTGGGTCTGCTTGTTATCCGTGATATCGAAAGTAAGGGAGTTCAGAATACAGACCTCAGTCAGTTCCCATCAGTACCAAAGGCTCTCCTCCCTGAGCCACCAGAACATCCTCCAGTCTGTGGTAGGTGAACTTCATCATTGCAAGTTGGGTAAAGTCCGCAGGTGCATCCTAGGGAGGGGGAGGGGCGACCGCACTGTGAGGGGCTTAAGGGCGCCACCCACACAGAATTTCACTCTCAAGCAAAGGCAACAAGTGCACGTTTTAAAAATACAGCATTATATAGCGCCGAGTAAGAAAACCCTTTTGGCCAAAGACTGCTATGGTCGTGTAAAAAGCATCAAATTTGGTCTTCTGCTGGCCTTTCCGGCTTAAGGGGCCTGGTGACACCAAGAAGCCCTTGTCCTCTTGCACCCGGTTTTAGGAGGCCCTCTCCTAAGGGCGGAGAGATCCCTTAAAAGCCGCTGGGCAAGGATACCCCTTCCCGCCCTCCTTCGTGGACACTGTACTGTTCTGATGAGCTGGGAGCGCACGGGGGCCAGTCCGGCCTCACTCGGTGGCTGGCGGCGGTGGGGCGCTGGGAGAGAGGGGCCGGCCCGGCTAGGGCGGAGATTGGGGCGGGGCCCGGCCCAAGAACCGCCTCAGCCCCACCGCCTAGCCCCGCGCGCGCTTCCTCCAAACACCCTCCCTCGCACCCCCCCCCCCACCCTTTACGTATTCAGGAAGGGAGATTGCGGCTGGGGAACCAGGTCAAGAGAGCCCGGGATCCTGTACCGCCCAGAGGCGGCGGCGGCCTCCGCCCAGGAAGCCCCACCCAGCAGGAGCCCGGACGTAGCGGCGCCCGCAGAGTCCACGCGCGACCGGGCGAGGGCGCGGGAGGGCGCCTGCGGCGTGACGCGACTCGCGGCGCGTCCCGTGACGCCATCGCGCCCGCTTTTGAAAGTTGGCGCCCGGGGCCGCCTCCCATGCTGCCCTGCGCCAACCCCTCCCCTCACCTTTCCTCCCCCGCCCTCCACTCGTCGCCTGGCCGGCCCCCCCACCCGTCCCTTCCCTTATCAGCACCCGCGGCCCCGGCAGCGCCGACGCAGGCGCACTGCACCGCGCCGCCGCCATTTTGTGTCCGAGCCTGTGGAGCGATTAAACCGTGCGCGGAGCTGCTTCTTTGGCGGCAGCTGCGGCGGCGGTAGCCGGTGCGGGTGCGCGGAGCTGTCCGGGGACGCCGGGTGGCCGGAGCGGTGGAGCGGCGGCGGAGCGGGCGCTGCAGGGGGTGTGGCGCGGAGGTAAGGGGGCCCGGGGTGGAGGAGGTTTCGCGGGCCGCCTCTAGGTGTCACGATGGGGCCGCTCCGGTCGGCGCTGGCTGCAGCCCGGCGCCAGCGCCGCCGCCGGGGGGTGTTTGTCTCCCTCTACCGTCCCTGCTGCGGCGCGGCCGCCGCCATTGCCCGTCGCCGCCGCGGCCCGGCCGGCCCCCCCCCCCACGCACACACCCGCCCGCTAGGCCTCCCTCCTGGCGGCGCGCTAGGCCTCTGGCGGCGGCGGCAGCAACAGAGGCCCGCGCGCCGGCGACTCCATTTTCCTTCCTTTGTCTCTGCCCTCGAGGCCGGCTCTTGGCCCGACTGGTTGCCCGGCCGCGGCCCGCCCTCTGCCCTCCGCCCCTCCCGCGGCGGGTGGCCTCAGCCGAGAGGCGATCTCCGCATCCCGGCTCCCGCGCCCGCCTTGCTCGAGGGTCCCGACCCACTGTCGGCGCGCGCGCCCGCGCGCAGCCCGGTGTCCGGGTAGTATGAGTGTCGGGCCCTGGCCGACGCCTCTCTGCCTGCCCCTCCTCCAGCCTGCCCGGTCCCCGGAACCTACCCCGGCCGCTCTGCGAGCGTACCCCTGCCGCTCGGCTGCTCTGCGGTCGCTCCCAGTCCGCGCGCCGCCGCCTCTGGTCTACGTCTCCGCCGAGTGGCGCAGGCGGCGCTGCTGCGGCTGCGAGCAGAGAGACCCCAGAGCTGCCGAGAGCTCCCTCTGCAAGGCTGGCTGAGCTGCTCGCGCCTCGACGCTGCCTGAGCGGGCGGGGGGACGCGCGCTCGCCGCCCCCGCCGGGCCCGGCTGCGCCCCCAAACTCGCGCCCCAGCTCCTCGCTGGACCTGACTGGTGCGGCCCCACACAGTGGCCGGAAGAGACTCGAGTTCCGCACCGAGTCGTTTTCCTACAGCCAGGGTCGGACTCCTCTTGTAATGATAGCCTGACTTTGTGCGCTAAGAGATCTCAAAGGGATCGAAACTTAACTTCATTCTGATCTCAAGTGACGTGACAAATTCCTGAATTCGGGATTATGGGCTTGTTGAATTGGTTTAGGCGACCCTTGAGTTTCCCTCCCGCTTTAAAATGTCCTGACACTGAGTTAGTACAGTATTTAGTACCTGATGCTTTAGGGCTAGGCGAAGGCACTTCTGCCCCGGGATTGTGCAACCTGATCTAAAGCTCCAGTAGGGCAGAATGAATTTATTCTTGACTCCACTGGTAATTTGCCCATACACTGAAATATGAGGGTTGATGTTGTAATTGAATCCTGGGTCGCTAGCTGCAGTTGGTTTATAAATATCTACGCCTAATGTAACTACTCTTTAGTAGCTGACTTCCTGTAGCCCAGAGTTCAGCGTTAAGTAAACATTCGCGTAAGTAGTCTTCAAGCTTGGAGTTTAAATCAAGTAGGAAAGTTAAAAATCTAAGTTCCCTATAGGCGGCAAAAGAAGTTAAACAGGACATGTATATTAAGTTTACTGCCCTCAGCTGTCTTAAGTCATTAAAAAGCTTCCTGCTGAATTGTCAGAGTTATCTCTTTTTCCCTTTTCCTCAAGTATTCTAGTACTTTAATATAGTATCGTGCAGCAGCAGTTGATACATTAACTCGGTTGCTTTGGAGAGAGGGAAATCTTGATTAACTTTTTTTTTAAGACTATGTTAAATTTATGAGGAAATTAAAACAGGCTGGCACTAAACAGAGTTGTTGGGTCTGCTCAACCTGTAGGATTTTGCAGCAATCTGCATCTACAGTAGTCTTTCAACATCCCTTTTTCAAATTCTACAAAATGTCCCTTCTCCCCCCTCCTACAGTAAAAGTAAAATTGCACTAACAAATACAGTAGTATTGATGAAGTGCAGGTTTGGTAATAGAACCATGCTTAATTGTTTAATAAATTAGTCTATAGTTTTTTTTTGCATTTGTGAGATTTTCCACATTGTGGATGGCAGGTGGTCTGTTTTACTTATAAAAATAATCTCTACACAGGTTAGAAATTAAAATCCAGAAGATCTATATTGGGCCAGGAATAAAATTTGTTTTCCCTGGTTAGTGTTATGCTCCACAAACCATGTTTTGTTTTTTCGTTTAGTTCTGCCATATGCAGTCATCGGCCTCTTAGTCTTCCATGTTATTTATGCTCTTTTAGTGGTGTAGACTCCACAGAGTTGCTGTCCTTTGAGATTTCCTATATTCCAGGATTCATACTTTGTTTTTATTGGAAAATGAAATCTACAGAGAATGAATTGAGGATATAAGGTTACCCAAAGGAGCTTATAACTTAAATCAATAAGGTGAAGAAGATTACAACAGGAATGTTTGCCCACTTAAGAAAATATTTAAGAGGAATTGTGAAAGTCATCCTTAGGGGTCTATTTAACCAACATAAGAAAATTTAGAAGTTGTAAAAGTCATTCTTAAGACTATTCCAATTCTAAGAGGTTTAAGATACAGCTTTAAAGAACACACAAAAATGAGGAACTTCTTTGGGTGGCTTAGGGAGTTCTTTGGGAGTGCAGGGGCCACCTGCGGCTGACTAGGGCCCCAAGGGAGAGTCCTGTGGCAGAGCCTTTCACAGTGGTGTCTGTTGGCGAAAAGTCCACCTCTAGAAACTGTTTTTTTGCTACTGGCATCAAATTCACTCCCCATCATGTATAGCTTCCATTTCATTTTTTTAAACCAGAGATTTAGTTGATCATCTGTTTACCTTACTGACCTGTCTCAGTCCCGGATGACTTCAGGCGTTTGGCCAAAAATTAGGTCCCTCTTCCAAACAACTAAAATTTGTCATAATTTAATACTTTGAGAAAGAGCATACAGGTTTGGAAAGAACAATAATGGCAAATAATGCATAACCTTGAAGACCCTGGTTTGCAGTTGGATGTGTGGATTTGGCGTACCATGTTTGTTTTTCTAAACATTAAACTTTCTCTAGTCACCATCTTCAGATCTTCACTGGCAGGTCTGCATTTTCTTAGTGATTAAGATTTCAGTGCAAAGATGGGACATTGCTTATAGACTGCTAATGTATGCATTGAGAATAGTGATTTTTCTATACTTGGTGTTCATTTTTAGTTACCTCTAGAATGTTCAGGTATATAAAATCTCCTCCCTTTGAGGCATGCTAGTAACACTATATGGACTCTAATACAAAAGTGTTTCTTGGACTAGATATGCTGATCCTCTTTTCAAGATGTAAATTGCCTCTCAACAGAGAAGACTTTTCTTTAGCTTCTAAGAAAGTATTATATTAGCTTAGTTTCGTGAGCTTTAGTTAATTATGAGATAGATTCCTTTGTAGTTGTACCTTATATGCCAAATTCCTTGGAAACTCTTAATTCAAATTTAGCACTTCCATTTCACTTGGAGGTTTCTTTTCTTTTTTTACTTTGGAAGTAAGTTCCACTCTACTATTACCTAAAACTTAAAACTTGACAATTCATATATTTGTAATTTGGGGATAAAATTATCAGCTAACAAAAAATATTTCATTGCTGTGCTTCTGGGAATTTCAAGACAGTGAAAGCCCTTCCTTCCTGAAGATAAGGAAGTAATACTGTTAAAGGACTATTAATTACTACATCTATAAGAATTAATTTTTCTGTCAGCTCAAATATATATACGTGTGCCATTATTTCCCTGCAAGGTCATAATGGGGTATTTTTTTTTTAAAGATTTTATTATTTTTTTCAGTAATCTGAAGTTACTATTTTTTCAGTAGTCTGTTGGGTGTAGACTCAACATGGGGCTCAAACCCACAACCCCAAGATCAAGTCTCATGCTCCACCAACTGAGCCAGCTAAGCACTCCAATGGTGCTATTTTGATAACCACAGATCTTTAGTGCTTTATATATTTAGCAAATATATAAAGAAATAAGTGTTTTATTACTGGTTTGGTAGAATTTATGGAATGCCTCATTTAGTAATGTGATGTATCAGAACCAGTATATTGTTTTTTAACCAATTTTGTCAGCTTTTATCTTGCCCTCAATTTGCTTTTCATATTATATGTGCAGTTGTGTGTATTTGGTGTTCATAAAATGATTTATGTTTCTGCTTTAGAATGGTCACAGATCTGGAGCCAAAGACCAAGATGCACTAGTGGACAGGTTGCTGCCCAGGGGCTTGAGAGCTGGGTTCTGTGTTCTCTCCTGAAACTGACTTTGCAGCCACGGAGAGGTAAATGCTCTTTCCATTTCTTGGTCTTGAAGATGGGAGTAATAAATCCTTTCTGGGGTTGGAGGATTTGCTATATTGTTCTTGGGTATAGAAGATGCAGGACAGTGAATAATTGAGGGCATGCATGTTTTATAGTCAGAGTCCTCAGTTTGAAACTCTGCACTGGCATATACTAGCTGGGTGACACTGAGCACGTTACTTAACTTCTCTACTCCTATGGTCCCCATTTGTGAGAGAACAACACCAGTTACAGAGGCTAGGCTCTAGGTTGGTGAGAATGTGTATAAAGCATTAAGTATCATTCTGAGCATGTACATAGACCCCAGGAAATAGTTGTTTTTCTGCAGAAACCCTTGGAACGTATATTTTGGTTATTGACAAATGACGTCAAGAGTCCATGGCCTGTGGCAATTTGAAATTTTGATGAGCAATAGATGGAATCCTATTTTTTTGGAAATGGATCCTAGATAAAAGTTGTCTTAATTAATTTGATTTAGCCTAGTTGATGACCCATTTTTGTATCAGTATTATATTCATTATCAGTAACATTTTGAAACACATTAAGGGGTCACTTAAAATTTACTGTAGCCTACAATTTCTGCTATAAAATATAATGGACATTATAGGGAACTTGGAACAGGCCTCATAAATACTAGGCTTTGGAATCTCATAAACAACAAAGTAGGGTTCTGGGTAGGAAAATTATCTCTTCTCAGGCTATTAGAATACACATCCTTCTTGTCCCTTCGAAAATGTGAAAATAATTTAATTGTACTTGTGTAACAGCAAAAGGGAAAGGTGGGGAGTTATAAATGCTGACATTAGATAAGCTTATGTGAATGAATCCTCTAAGTGACTACTAAGATTTTTCTTACAAGCTGTGTTGGAGCAAATAGAGAGGAGGAAGGGAACAGGAATGAAAACTCTACTATTCAAATCTGTTTTCCATGAGCAGCTTAGTACATTGATAGGTGGGAAGGACAAGGTCTGTGTGCTAGGATTCTGTCACTCAAGAAATAATTTGTGCCCTGCAGGTTTTTTTAAGGAGTGTTGACACAGAGTACATATTAATGAGCTCCTGAAAAGAAAAACAATACTGATTTAAAAAGCTGTTGAGAAAACTAGCCTTAAGAGTTTGGGGAATGGGGTTGTAGGAACATGTTGGTCACTTTTAAGTATTATGGCAATTTAATTGTTTAGATCCCTGTTTCTCAAACTGGGATATGAATACCCTTAGGGTACAAAGTGGTATGATTCCGGGGTACTTGAAGCCACAAGATAAGCATGACCCATCTTCTTGGAGCTTCAATTGTGCTCATTGAGGGGGCGGTGAGTTAAGTAATTTGACTGGTAAGTAATTTTTAAATTTTTACATTAAAGCAAATACATATATTAGGATCAGAATGGGAACTCTGTATAGACTGTTGAAGAGAACCCAGGTTTTCAGCAAAGTGGGTCATGAGTCCCTAGGGGATAAGAATCGTCCTTTGTATAGGTACTACAGTGGAAACATTTGAGAAGCAATGGTTCTGAGCTATGGAACAGCTCTGTCATCCAGCTCCTTACTTTGTTCCCTGTAGCATCCTATTGTGGAATATAGACATTAAATTGTATTAAATCGGTGCTTGTTTGCTTGCATGCATGTTTCTACAGGTACCCAACATGCACAAGAGCTCTACACCAATTGGTAGACAGTTCTAGATGGCGAACCAAGTCAGAAATACTGTCATTAAGACCATTCCAATGACCTAATTATAATTTAAAAAGAAAAAAAAATTTTTTTAAACAATGAACAGACTCAGGTCTGAAACTGTAAAATGGGGTGTTCGATTGGTTCAGTCCATAGAGCATGAGACGCTTGATCTCAGCAGGAACTCTTAATGAGTTCAAGCCCCACATTGGGCA